GGACCTCTGAGACTATCACAGTGCAGGTGCATTTATATGGAGACTTGATTCCACACAGGTGGATTCTATTTATCATCATTAGTCATTTAGGTCAACATTGGATCATTCAGAGATCCTCACTGAACTTCTGGAGAGAGTTTGCTGCACTGAAAGTAAAGGGGCTGAATAATTTTGCACGGCCAATTTTTCAGTTTTTTATTTGTTAAAAACGTTTGAAATATCCAATAAATTTCGTTCTACTTCATGATTGTGTCCCACTTGTTGTTGATTCTTCACAAAAAATTACAGTTTTATATCTTTATGTTTGAAGCCTGAAATGTGGCAAAAGGTCGCAAAGTTCAAGGGGACCGAATACTTTCGCAAGGCACTGTATAAGCTATTTTAACCATATATGATTTTTTTTATATATAAGCTATAATGTAGTTGTAAGCTGTAAGATGTCAGTGTTTATTTCTGCAATTGTCAACAACTGGGCATCCATATGAGGTTGGTGAATAAACACAGGTATAATAATATAATTTGTCTTCACAAAAGAAGCTATATAAGTAGGAAAATACTGTAATTTAATTAAAATAAAACTTTAAAAAATCGATTACAGTCTAGCCTTAACTGCTCATAACTACTTTATAATGTGTTATAAGTGATTTGTTAACTGTCCTTATTGCAGATGTTGCAAAATGATCCATTTGTAAAAAGAAAAGTAAAATTAAAATTTCTGTGACAGAGTTTGAGTTACTGTAATTGCCTGTAATATCAGCTAGTCTGCATCAATGGACAACCTTTGCCTACCTGTAGAAAACTGGAATGTGGTGGGGCAGTCGTTTAACAGGTTAGCCATGAAGGACTGCGGGACGGTCTCTCTGAAGTTATACACTTTAACATTACCTGGGAAGAGATCAGCAATTAGAATGATTGCCCTAATGAATCAATATTGTTTGAAAATAAAAATAAAAGTGGCAAAAATGACTAAGAAGACCCACCTTCTTTATTTCTTATAATGATTATAGACCCTCCACCAATCCCCATACTCTGAGGATTGACCACTGATGTGCACAGCAGAGCTGCAATGGTGCCATCTACTGCCGAGCCGCCCTGCTGTAGCATGTTCCTGGAAAACATTTTCACAGGACTTATGGGAAATGTGTGAATGCACAATCAGTCACTAGCTCTCTACTACTCACCGCACATGTGCCCACCCACAGAAGACACATATAAACATTTTCTAACATCATGACTCCAGTGTTCAGTGTTTCAGTGTGTTAAACGCTTTGAGTGCTGCCAAGAGGCAAGTTTGAACCATGTGTTGATGCTTGAGATTGACTTCAGGCAAAATACAAAAAAGCTGCTGGCTACGGTGGTGGTTTCTTTAGTTTTTTTTTTTTAAGCTTGACACCAGAGGTTAACTATCTTCCTTAGAAATTAGAAAAAATTTATGTTATTAAGCTACTTGAACTTAATTTTACTAGACAACAGAACTCAAAGACCTGAAACTTTCTCAGAAAGCTCTGAATGGATCTTTTCACTGAGAGGTTGGCATGGGATCAAATTCCTTCACTGAGTGAAGAGTGAAAGTTGTGCTAGAAAAATCAGCTCTGTTGCTGTCAGGCCAGTTCAGTACCATGTACTCTGGGAGCTGAAGAAAGTCTCAGGAGGCAGAATAACAGACTAAAATGGAATCAGAAGAAACAGTGCAACAAGTGAAATGGCTGATACTGGTCTTTACACAGTGGAGGTCTTATAAGTGAATTAAGCTTTGAATATGGACAGAATCAAATATCATTTGCATATATTGCACCTATAGGTTTGGTAGCACTGAGCTGCCAGTATATCTGCCACTATTAAATCACTATATCTGCATATAGCATGTGTTTACTGCTGGTAAGTGAAAAGTGACTTTTGAAAACCTAGAGATTGTCTGTCAATGTAATTTGAAGTGAAAAGTGAGCATGATGAGAGCATATTGAACATCTGCAGCTGACTGAGGAAGTGTTATGGAAATTATACAATTCAGGAGAAAATATAATGATGCTGTCAACAGCAGACTTTAAAATAATAACTGAAGCAGAGATGTCAGTTCTGTTCATATCATATCGATTGTTTCAGGTAAAGGTAGTGTTTGCCCCTACATAAGAAACATAAGAGCTCATGCTGTCTTTGAAATGAAGTGGGAAATGACCTCATGACAGTGAGAACAAAAGCAGGAAGAGCTACATGCTCATTCCAGTAAAACAAAGCACCTCACTTAAAGGTTACTACTGGGTTACTACAGTATATGACAGAATGATGAAGTACCCTGAATAAATCACTGCATCAATGAACACATAAGAGAGTGAGCCAAGACTCTTCGTCCCCTATTAGAAAGACTGACATCAGTTTTTGTAAACCTGATTTTCTTTTGCAGGTACAACCAAGAGGATAATTTGAAAAGGAAGGGACAAGAGGTGAGGAGAAAGAACAGCCTGTGTGCACACAGTGCTGCAGGGGTCTTCAACTAGAGCCTATCAAATCTTTTAAACTGCTTATCCCATTGCGCAGCTTTTTATCTCACCCACACTATAACTAAAATAACCTGATAGTTAATGTGGAGTAACGTGAATAAAGAAACACGTCAACACTGGTACATACGGTACAAGAAGTTAATTATTCCCAGACTCAAAAAATATTAATTTAGACACAATAGGCTGAGGGCAAACTGAGGGCAAATGCATTGTCGATTTTTTTCCAGGTAAGCCAGAACATTTCGTGTTAGAAAGTGACTTACCTGCCGATTTCTGAACAAAGTTGCGAGTCTGCAGACACAGCCGCATGCTTGAAGCTGCCGCTGGAACAGCCTGTGTCCAAAAGTAAGACGATGCACAGGCAGGCAACAGCAACAGCGCAGATTAAACCTGCAAAGATGAAGCAGCACACTAACCAGGACTTCTTTTTAGCCATTGAATATTCTGTTGAGGAAACTTTGTGTTGAGGACCTGTCGCTGCCGCCTCCCAAAGCACACACACGATCAAAGGACATCTACTGCCTAATCCTAATCCTGGGGTTTCCCCTCCTCCCTCCATTAACTGGTTGCTGCCCCGCACTGCAGTGACCATAACAAATGAGGAAATAAAGGTGATATCACGGGAACTGCCCTCTCGGGGTTTTGTGTCATTTATTTTATTAGGCTGAATAATTTCTGTTTAGCACTTCAGGGTAATTCCAAGAGCTTCCTGGGAGATTAACCGGAATTCACATATTCACTTTCATTCTTGTGCAACACTGGTAATGGCTTTTCTTTTTTTCAATTTCCTGCAGCTGTAGCAGTTCTTACTATTCTGACCCAAAGGATCAGAACAACCGTCCCCCCTCTCTGGTGCGCCGTTATTTAGGATGTGAACTCTGTGTCAGTGACACAGGATACTGTGGTCTTCAAACTGAGGTCTCATGGCTGCTGAACTCCTCCAAACAGGGTCCACAATTTGCCGGTAAAGTTCTGTATTTGTATTGTCGTCTTAATCTTTTGGTGGCTAAATGGTGGATTTAGAAGGAAGTTACCAACTGGACAATCGAATTTCCAGAGCTCACTTTGACTAATCAGCAGCACACAACTTGAAGATTAGTTACTTATACAGCAGCCCTCAGTCCGCTCACTATCCACAATTTTCACATTCATTATAGGGCTCTGAATGCACTCTGTGTGAATTTCTATGTATGATGTGTTGTTGTTTTTTTTTTACAACACAGAAGTTGATTTCCCTAGTGTGGAAGATGTGAAGTGTGCAAACAGTGCCAGGAACAACAAAAAACAACATGCCTCTGTGCCTTTTGTGCCAATAAAAGTGATTAAAAAAAACAAACAAACAAAAAAAAAGAGAACATGGGGTTTACGTGTTTAAATTAAAAAGTATTTAGTTCTGCACAGTGCCTGTATGTGTATTTATTCATCCATGTTCAGTTCCCAAAAGTACCTTGACAGTAAAATTGTTTATGTAGAATATCTGGTGTCATAGAGAGTTCAACAAATGAAATGCAGAACCTCTCACAGTGAAGTTGGTGAATGAAGAGGAAGTGACATATGAGATGTGTTTGAACTCATAATTTCTCACAAACCTGTACCAAGCTCATCAACCAGTCTACAAGCATAGCAACCTGAATGAGATGTCTTAGTGGTCTTCGTGTTTATGATGTTCCAGCACATGTTAATGAGCACAGATCTCCAGATGGCCAGTCTACCCATCAACTAGACTTGAAAACTCAGCTAGAAGATGTCGCAAACTGATGATACCCAGTAAAGTTAGCAAAGAAACCACAAAGCTCCAAAACAAGCCTGGCATGTGGGCTGGTAGATTACTAGGTCTGCTAGTTAGGAATGAGGAACGCCAATCACCTGACCACACATATAGTAGCCAGCCAGTGTGTTAGGGGTTGTCAAACCCATGTGATTTACACTATTAGAATAATGTGTCTTGGCCAACAATTTGTGTTTTTGTCCATGTTGGAGGTCTCTCTGTGCAACATACAGCACAAACATTGAACTTGTGTCTCATTCAAAGGACAGCACGGCAGAATTTATTTTACATTAATAACACTGTTTTCTCTGACTAGTTCTTTTGCTGACCTGCATGACTGCTGTGCCTCCTACTCTGACAGCTCTGGTCATGACAAAGGAAGGAAAACACATACTACAAACAATCATTATTTATAGAAACTGATACAAAGGCTGTGGCCAGAGCCAGAGGGTGTCCAGAGTACAGTTTTTAGGTGTCCTCAACATGTGGCCTAACCCTACCGCTGGTGGCCGAGTGCTGCCATCGAAGTGCCCACTGTGATTTGGCAAAACTGGCATTGGCTGTCGCTGTCCAGGGTGCTGACCCTCAGCCAGGGCATAACCCAGTAGAACCAAATGAGTCCAGTAGCATGAGAGTAAACTGCTCTGCCCTTCTGGTTGCTATTTATATTAACTTTAAATATAATCATGAATCAAACTGTAGTTTACAGCAAGTTGTTTTGACTAATGTTAAACAAAATGCTAGTCTTACTTTTACCTTAGGAGGTTGTGTTTAATTTTTAAAAAATATTTTCTCTGCTAAATAGCTTTCTTTTTTGGAGAGTTTTCTGTTTCAAAGTGTAGAGAATGTCATGTGTAATACAGAGAGTATTTCCCTTTGAAAGCTAATTTACAATTTTATAAAAAATACAACTTAGTTTACTTTTCATTGTACAGGGAAACACGTTTCCTAACTATGCATATGACAAATAAACACTTTGACCTTGACCTTTGACTTGATTTAGTGCAAACTGCAACACAGTGTGCTGCAAATAGTGTAAGAGATATGAAGAACTGAACCGATTTATATGGTTCTGGCTAAAGCCAGTGGAAACATCGACACTGGGACACTGGGTGGAGATGCTGTGTATAGTTTTAGTTGTCACCCTCTTGGCTCCTGTGATCGTCACTTGGTTGTACTATCATATTTACTTTATTCAGACAGTAGTGTGATGAAATAGAGAGTTAATTACATAAATTGATTAAAGCCTTATAACAGTAATTATCTCTTATGAGATGACACATTTAAAGGACTTAGACAAATATACTGTATTTGTTGTTTTTTCTCAATGGGATGAGTACATAGACTATTGTTGCATTTGTTGTAGCTGAATTTGTACACCAGAGGGATATTAATGGCCTTAACTAAACCTGTACATGTATTAGCTTAGTGTCACGGTAACATATTATAACATGCTCCGTGTGCAAAAGCCAACAGCACTGGAATCACAAGAATATACATCAGTGTGTCATGAGTTATACACTCAAACTACACAGAGATGATGCATGCAGGGGCATATTTTGCAAAAACACTATACCATAGGTCATTGTGTTCCCATAAATAGTCCATAGTTATTATTCTGCAGTCCCTGTATCATACCAACCCCCCATCCACCCATGTCAGCCTCTATTCACTCACATCCACCATCCTATGTAAGCATTGCACCGTCACAGCTCTTTATTCATGGGATCTTTCAGTCACAGCCATTTTAAACCTCTTTTTGCAGCCTGTAGCCTTTCTTTAGAAGAATGACTCATGATCCCTAGCAGTCACTTGTCTTGTCTTTATTAATTTTTAATTATATAACTATGAACATGCATTACTTACTTCACTTTAGAGCTAGTAGACAGATGAGTGACCAAAATATTTATTTATTTTTTCTCTCTGAGGCATAAATAGTTCTGAAATCATTTTCATCTGGCTGAGTCACCCCTGAAGAGCAAAAAGACAGAAGGAAATGTAACAGGGCAGCAGGGGACTGATGGAAGAGTGCATTCAAGATAATTTGGATTACACACCAATTTCATAGATAATGTATCATCCCAAGAACATACTGTCTTTTCACGTCAGTGCAGTGAATGTATGCAGCTGTTTCGTTGCAGTACCTTTGCAGCTAGTGCTTACACACAGTTTACAGTTAATATTACTGTCATGCAATTTATTGCCTTGTCTGCGTGTGTCTAGCCATAAACATAATAATTTGGCCTTGAAAGAAAAATCTTTGGTTTTTGTTCATCACTGGTAAGTGAGAGAAGTCTTTATTTCATTTCATTTATCCGCCACATTCAAAGTGAAATATACCTGCTGTGTCTGGTAACAGGCACCCTGCACCAGCCCTCCCATTACTGGAGTGGGCGGAAATTAAGTAGTTTAAGCTCAAAAGGAATTAACACCTCTCTCAAACAGCAGCTGCTGATTGGAAATGAGTACATGAACACATCACTGTGTCTTTATCGCCTACCCCTAAAGAAACATTTCTAACAAATGGACACTTTGTCAGTCTAACATAACCAAACAGCATTCAATGATCTGTCAAATGGCAAGTCACAAAAATCATCTGGATTTCAGAGGACACGGTTGTGTAAAAGGAGCTACTGTGCTATTCATATTCACTGTATGGATGTGTACAGGCTTAGGCCCACAGAATATGCAAAGATTAAAGGCCATTTGAGAGTTTAGGACTGGACAAGTTAAAATCAGGAATCCAGACTCCTCAGCACAGGAAGATGTATATGCGATCGGGACAAAAGTGTTCTTGCTGACACGTGTAAGTGGGGCAGGATACATATGTACAGAACATACACTATAAAGAGGCAAGAGTGTACAGAGGCAGCATTACGGCACCACATTAACTGCATTTAAAAGCAGGAACTTTACCTTTACAGTCCGGCCAGTTTGGGAGCAACAAATGTAAACTCTGAGGGCAACGATAATCCTCCAAAATAAACTCCATCTGGACACTGGTGAGCTAACGCGGAGCTTGTTGAGATAAGACTCTCCGGGAGCTGCAAGTCTCAAAAAATCTCAAAACGCAGTTTGCTTATGGACTAAATTTGCTGGGCCCCATAATAAATAATTAAACATATTTGATGGTACTTATTTTAAAATGAACCAGTGCCCAAATAAACAAAAGCCTTTGTGATCTCCCCTAAAGCTTTGCATAGTTTGGAAAAAAGGAGATATCAGAGAGGATGTTAACAGGAAACCAGAGAATGGCTGATAACCAATGGAAAAACATGTGAGGCCAGTCATTCAGACAAAAACAACAACAACAGAAACATTTATCTTGGGAACATCCGGTGTTAGGTTAGTAGTTATTATCCACTTGAGAGTCTAGACACAACAATTTCAGTGGACTCAAGTGAACTCACAATAATTTTGCAAACATTTCTAAAAAAAAAAAACTTTTATTAAACATGAAGAAAAATTGCTGATCCATCTAAAAATAATTCAAAATTCAAGTTTCAAGATTCAACTTAATTGACAGTTAAGAACAAAAAGGATAAATAGATAAATATTTGATTACTGGAGGGGTTGTGTGCTGTGGTATATTGGAGCATGAATGTATTATTTTACTATTGATACTACATCCTGCTCATTAGATCAAAATGTTTTGATGATACAGATGAGGGAGCTCTTTCTTTACCTTGCAGGCTCCAAGCTGCTATGTGGTTAATTATTTACCCCACTGATTAATCTTTCAGTGGTGCCAAAGTGTGCCAGGGAACAAGGTTAACAAGGATGCAAGATGTGGTCAGAGACACGGCACGGCAGAGGGATTCACTCAGGATAAAAAAAAATCTGTCCCATGTCACTGCAAAAAGTACAGTAG